TAAAACTGCTGTTGTTTCATTCTGTTCAAAGCCATATAGGGACTCCTAATCTATGAGCAATGCTGTTTAAACCTGTCCTCTCAGTTTGACTAAAGGTATGTGATCGCAAAATGTGAATGCAAAGGTTTGCCCGGATGGCTTGTGTTTCTGAAGGTGAGATCTTACCCATTCCAAAATTATTTAGGTGATTCATGGATTCCCTTGAACTGTGAGGAAGTTAAATCTGTATTAGTTTTAGGTGAGGAAATGAAAATACGATGGAAAACCAATGATTATGCATTTGTCTCTTTGTTACAAATGTGTTGTTGTTTGTAAGAAACCAATTAGATTAGGAAGAAACAGCTATCAATTTAGCTTCTGAATGGCTTACAAACGTATTCTAGTATTCTGGGATTAACACAGGTGTTTGATAAATTCCCAGGTATTGTTAAAAATAAGGGGTAGTGTGAGTCATGTACCCAATCCTGAAACCTCTTGCTCAATACTGTAGAAGGGACCAGAAGCTGGCAGTTATCCTAGCAAGAATTTAACAAGTTGTTGTGCAGAATCTGCAGGAGAAATAAAAAAGCCGGAGTCATAAAGGTTGAGAGGTCAGAAAGTGGGCTGCTCTGAAGTGCTGGCAGTGCTGCATGACATTGGGCTGGCGAAGGGCACTCGAGAAATGCTCTGGTGAATTTGACATGCTAATTGGGCTGGCTCTCTAATTTTATTTTTCACTTCACCCTGCTCCTGTCAGTTCTGCCTTGGCATGCATGAAGTAAATTTAATAGGAATTTGAGTAAATGTAGTGTATATGTGACTTTCTCTTGCCTGTGTATGTATGTTGAGCTTTTTTCCTGTTAAAACATTCTGGTTTCGGACCTATTCATTTCCCTGAGGAAACTAATTAGAGCTGCTTCTTTCCTTAGCTTTGTTTTTTCTCTTCTGACATGTTCTTTCTGTGAATACAATTGAGTGACTTTAAGCTAAGAGTTCTGCTTCATTGCAAAGACTGGGGAACCTCAAAAAGCTGGAAGTCCTGTGTCCGTAGCTCCTCTCCTTACTGGAGAACAGAGGGACTGAAATGCTCCTAGGAGTGAAACCACATATGGGTCACACTAAAATCAAAGTATTAATGGAAGACTGGATCTTTGTGGGTTGGTTAGTTGTTTTTAAGGAAGCTCTTAGTTCTGATGTTTGGACACGTGTTTGCTAAAAAGCAGAAAAAAGGTTTTATCCTTTATTTTCTCAGGAAGAGGCCTCTATCAGACATTAGGTATCCTGTGAGGCACACACAAGACACAACATTGTTAGCATTCCACAGAGCAATCTCCTCCCCATGGGCATTTCTGCACTGGGAAGGAGAATGTGATCTCCCCTAACTGATCTGAGTTTATAGGGAAACAAAGTGTTACAAGGCTGAGGTGGATCCCTTCACCTGGCACAGTAGTTCTCCCTCTGGCACTGGTGTTTTCCAGCAGAATTAGTGGTACTCAGGGACTTCTTACTTTGAAGGATTTGATCAGGTGCTTAGGACCTCTCATTCAAATAATGATAAAGCAGGTGATAAAGCAGCTAATGCCCTGTGAGGTGTACCTTGAGGGCCTGGTGTTACCTGGTAAAACAACAGTCTTGTTAGCGCAACGAACTCTCTCAGTGTTGCGGCGTTTATAATTAATTGAAGCAAGCCTTCATTCATCTGTATTTGCCAGAGCTTCTAAAGCACACATCTGTGGCTTGCTGGTACTGCTCCCAGCAGTAATTTCTCAGCTCTATCGCCGTAGTTTTCCTGAGTACTGAATCTCAGACTTTGATGCCAAGCCTCAGTGATTTGCCTCGTAACCCTTTTCTCCCTGCACAACACAAGACCTCCTAACTACTGGCTTTTCCACTTGGCTATCCGGGCTTTGGCAGCTTGCACAGCTGTTTCTGCAGCCTGCGTTTCTCTTGGAGGTTTCCCCTTTCCGCATATATTTTAAACCTTCTGCTCTGTTTTCTGTCTCAAAAGAAGAAAATGTTAAAATGGTTGATATGGTTTGGTCAACTCTTCCAGCTAGGAATTAATTTCTGTGTTTTGCTCCAATTCTATTGTGGACTGGAGGAGTTTCTGGATCTTCGGAAGAATACTTATGAGCTGCTGTGACACTTGGGTTTCAGTGGAATACAGCTAAGACATAAAATTAGCTTTTGTCACAGAGCTTTGGTGCTGCCTGTGAAAATGCAATATTCACAACAGAGTTCTTGGCTCTCTTCAGAGTCCCTTGAGAGGAAGTCAAAACATCAAAAAATACAAGCTCTAAACCTAAATAAAAGGTGTTTCACTGCTCACATTTCTACTTATTTGCTGATGGCAAAGGTGACTGGAAATACTTGTTAACTATTTTGAAGGCAAACTGGGAATTATTTAACCAGTTATACAGGGCTTTGAAGCTGAGTTGAAGGAGCTGCCAATGGTGGCTGTAACCTCCATCAGAAGGGTGCCCTTTGGTAACAGCTTGCTGGAGCTCAGCCATTGTATTGCATCTTGCAAGTGCAGAAATAGTGATGAAGTCAGTCTAAGGCTAGTAAAGGCATGTTTATTGACCTCCTTCCTTGTGATTTTAATTCAAATACTGCTCTTCTGCATGTGCCACCATGCTTCTGTAAGGCTCTCAGAAGTCCTTGTTTTCTCATGTTGCTCTCAGAGTGGTTTTCTCTGGATGCGAGGGAGCTTGTGATGCTGAAAGCCATGCCATGAATTTATGCAACATACTTGCCAAACTGCTTTTTGGACAGGATATGTAGTGGTACTGTGTGTACCTGAGAACACCCTGCTACCTCTAAGTGGCCAGCTAAAAGCAAGGGCTTGTGATTATTTTTATTTGCATGTGCCATATGTGAGCACTTCTGCACTTTTCTCACTTCGCGCAGTGCTTTCAGTCTGAATGGACAGACGTAATTTGGTTAGAAGGGCAGTGCACATGGATGATTGGCTTTGCGTTAGAGAAGGAGAGAGTGTAAGATGATGGGAGTGTTGTTGGAGACAGGTTGATTCAAGCAAAAAGAAGCACAGTGGAATTAGTCGTCAAAGAAATGGGCTTGAAATACCTAGAAATGAATACATGGATCAAAGGAATGGCTCAGGAAGAAGTGCCAAGGAGGAGGTCAAGCAAACTGAAAGTTCTGCATGGCTGGGAGCTAAATGAAGCACTGGGGGAAAGTGGCTTGAATGTGGGGAGAAGAGATTGCAGTGGTTTGAGTGAGCTAAGAGCCCAGGAAAAAGAAGATAAGGTAGGCAAGAGGTGCTGAAACATCAGAGGCAGGTTGGGATCCCTCGAAGCCACAGTCCCAGCGCCATATAAAATCAGACCCTTTCAAGGTTCCTCAGTGTACATCCTCAAAGTCTGTAAGCAGAAACCCCAGGATTTCTGCTTACAAACATAACTCTGAGTTTGTGTCCACAGTGTTCCACGGCCTCCTCTCAGGCTTTCCTTCCTCCTCTCATTCTAGAACATGCAACAGGAGAGGTAGTGTGATTGTTGGAGCCCAGCATGGACAGGGGAACCCAAGCTCTTTCCGAAATGCTTTCCGAAAGCATTTGTGACTCAGATAGTGGACTTGATTTTTTTCAGTCATTTCATTCTGAAAAGCCTAAGGGTATTGTTTGCTAATGTCTTCCTTGGATGTTGTGGTTTCCCTCACCCCATTTTTTTTTTTTCCTTCAATGTTGTGCACGTTTTTAAGTACAAGCCTAATTCATTACATAATATAGTTCACTTAAATATATTTTCTTAAGAGACTTATTTTCAGTAATACTACCACATGCCCACTGCTTCCAGAGCAAGGAGTCATTTCTGTCAGATGCAACAGATACTTCACTATGTGCCTTTATGTGTTTTTATGTTGGAGCCTTTTATCAGTCTTTAAGTGGCACCAAGAAATTGAAGTGTAAAAAATAGATAAACACAGGTCGATAATATACTGTTGAGATAAGAAAAAAAATCTTTAACTGAATTCTAGCATTCTGATTAATTCCTCTTTCTTAGCTCAAATCCATGCTGTTACTTATACATACTTTGAGTTTAAAAGGTCTGGCAGTCTTTTCTAGCGGTTTGTACTCGCTGTTGCTTCAAACAGTATCCAGCATCCACACCAGAGCTCAGTGCATGCTGTGTTTTGGGGTAGGTTTGGCACAGATCAGTGCTGGGGCGCAGCAGAGCTGATACCCGCAGCCATGTCTGCACTCTCTGCAGAAGCTTGATTAAACTGCAGCATTTGTTGTACCAGCAGGAGGTTTAGGAAAAGATGCGAGGTCTTTGCATATCCCTGCAGCTGCTTACTGCTGAAGTGATGTTTGTTGAGTTTGCAGGGTGCAGAGCATCATGCTAGCTTGGGGGAAATGCTAAATATTTCTATGGAGTCTTTATTTTTGGTGATGTATGAATGCATATTGATTTTGATGGGGCATTGCAAAGGGTGAAGCTATCCTATTAAGTTTGTATGCAAGCTCTGATAAAGCGTGACATTCAGCAGTAAACATTCCATAAGACACACACACACACAAAACAAAAGACAGGTTAAACTAATGAAACAATGGGAAAAGATCAAAAATTATTTGTTGACAATTTTGCTGGCATTGCTGGGAAAATACCTAAACCACAAAAAATAAAATAAAATAAAAATTGTAAAAATAGTCATTGCAGCTTAATTCATGTACTATATTCTCTGTCAAAAATGCCTGTGTCAGATTTACTTAGTACAAGTGGATTTAGGCTGTGAAGATAATTCATCTGGGCAAAAGCTGGCAGCAGCACGGTAATAAGAAAAATGGGCAAGACACAAATGGTTTCTTTTTAATTATTATGTTGCTGGACATAGGGCAATTCTTAAATCACAACCAGTGTCAAACTCAGGGAGACATAGCCCTGGACTGATTTTATCTAAGTGTTATCTTGTAGAACTGCCAAATTATCAGCTGAATAATAGTCTCTGATTGTTTGTTCTTGTTCATTTTTAAATTTTTTTAAATATATTTTTTACAGACACACTATGAAAGTGGAGAGTATATTATCCGACAAGGTGCTCGAGGGGACACTTTCTTTATAATCAGCAAAGGAAAGGTAAGTTGACACTCTTCTAAGGAAAACATGATGGTCATGATGTGCTCTTAAAATTCAGCGCCAAGCCAGCGCTTTCTTTCCCCTCCCCAAGGCACAAATGTTGCAACACTTGACATTTAATTAAACTTCTTGGCATTGTATCAGTAGGGAAGAGTGGCCTGAAGAGGGGAAAAAAAAAACAGATCTCATACTGTTTTACATGTGTTCACCATGAACGCTTTGGGATTTGAAAAGAGCTATTAAGTCTCAGTGGATGACCAAAAAGCTCTGTCTTTTTTCTTTGGATGGGTTATCTGCACTGGGGAGTTCTGTGGCACCCTAAGCAGCTAGCTCAGTTTCTGCATGCCATGTGTATCTCCTGCTTTGTCTCTCTTTTCAATTTTGCTTTTTCATTTGATGATGGATGCTCCCTTACTCTTCTCGGAATCCCTGCAGGCTTCTTTATCCCATAGCCTTTTTTTTTTTTTCCTTTTTCCCAATATACCCTGCAATAGTCAACTTTTCTTTGCGAACTGTCCCTCTTGGAAGACTGACTTCCAGTGTTTATTCCCATGACTATCACTTTATAGCTCTTCCAAATTAAATAATAGGAACCCAAAGCAGTTTCAGCTTTCTCTTCGGGGAACTAAAAAAGGTCAAAGTTTTGCTGCTCCACTGCTCAGAGGGAAAATTTGCTTTTTGACCTCTTTTCATATAAAATCCTTGTGGGATTTTGTAGATCCAGCTTTTTCCTTCCTCTTGACTATTTTTTTTTAAGCTGGCCTAATACTATTACACTTGAAAAATATTTGGCTTCTTACCACGTAGCAGGAGAGAGATATTCAACAGAATACACATTGATTTCCCACTGCAGATCAGATGTGATACATGAAAAGTAAACACAAATGGGCAAATACACTTGAAAGCAGGCCAACTCCAGCCTCCTGGTTCATGGGTTTGATGTTTGCACCAAAGCAGATGTTAATATAGTCCTTGCATAATTAAGTACAGCAAAAACAAACCCATGTCATCTAGAGAGGAAGAGTGTGTGTGTTGTACTGTTATCTCTCAGACATTAAAAGTAGTTTTCACCATCTTTTCCTCTATCTATGGGAGCTAATCTTTTCAGAAAAAAAAAAAATATATGGTCTTTTTCAGGTGAATAAGAAGATCACAGCAGGTTGCTGAAATGAAGCTAATGATGGTCTGTAGAGATGCAAATTTCACGGTATTTTCTTGTGCTTTTGAGTAGGGTTTCATCTTCTTCCAGAAGAAGGACGACTATGACATACACTAAAAATCCTTTCCAGAATAAAGACAACTATGATATACGCTACAAATCCTTTCTGCTCAGACCATATCTGAGGCACCTCCCTTTCCCAACAAGTGTTAAAAGTCCTTCTCGGTACACAGGCCAGCCTGTTGGTGGGGATGCTTTTGACCAACTTGATCAGGTGGTTCCATCCCTAGCAGTCCTCAGAGTCTCTTGGTTGCAAAATTCAAATCCTGTTGACTACTGGGTAACCAGACTACTGGGTACTACTGGTACCCAGTACTGGGTAACCAGACCTGCCTGGTCTGTCCATCCTCCTCATGCCCTTGCAGCTCACCAGCAGATGGAGGAGAAAAGCAGATGGTCCCTGTGTCCTTGTCCATTGCTCCAGAGCTCTCTAATTCCCTTAGAGAAGCTCATTGGCTTTATCTCCCAGGCCTCTGTTGTTTTATCTTCATGTATCAGCTGATGGCCAGAAAAAGGAGTTCAAAGCAATGCACATGGGCTTGCTGAGAAATTCCCAGAGCCTCAGCTGGATCTTGATGGCTTGACAGAAGTTCCCACAGGGATGGTTAAATTCAGCCTAGTTTTTTTCTTCCATCCTCACTGAATTGCAAAAGAGATATTGGTGACTGAGGAAGGATGGAAGTGGGAGGGTGTTTAATTTTAATGCTTGTATTTAAACATGTGAGCTACGCAGTGATATCAGAACTCCATGCAAAGGATACAGCCCAGGATAGGAGAGTAGTGGGCTGGCAGTGAAACATAGAAAAAGTAGCAATGAAACACAGAATAATCATATCAATATATGCTGACTGGGACTTTCTGAGGCAGAGACATGACTCTCTTGCCTATGCTGAAAGCAGACCCAGGAGGCTTAGCAAGCCAGAAAAAAGGCTGGCTCCTTCTCGCGTAACTGGGATCTTGCATGTACTTCCTGCATTCAGCAGCATCTTGTTCCAGCAGCAAAAGCTACTATTAAAAGCTCTGTCCTGCCTTTTATGATAGAGCTTCTGTAGTGACAGTCAAGTCAAGTGATATTTTTTAAATTTCTGAGCTCAGCATTTTTTCTTCCAACCTGTGCTTTGTGAATATTTCTTTTCATAGCAAAAGCCTTTTCTCTTTTTTTCTCCCTCAGCTCCATCCGCTGCAGTTGATCTGGCTGCTGTTGTCATTTAATTGTGTGGGGCATGTGGCTACTAATTTAACCCATCCACGTTCCTCTGTTGGAGTCTGCCTGTGATCAGCAGGCAACTTCTTTAGAATTGGGAAGGTGCAGCAGCTCAGGTGCTTTTAGTACTACAAAAATGTCTGGAGAACTATTTCTCATGTTTATTAGTGTGTGTTTCCTCAAGTCTAAGTGAATAGAAATCTACTTTTGTTCAAAACAGCCTATGTGCAGAAATCTGTTCGATAATACCTTCGATGAAAACAGTTTGATCCCTTCTGGTTGCTGCCTGCTGCTGCTCTGTCCTGTTTAGCATCCTTCTTTTACCGAGGGGCTGCATGTGTGTCATGCTGTGCCACTGTACACCATTTTCCCTTTAATAGCAATGGTGTGGCACCAATTTGATACTATATTGTGCATGTTCGTCAGTGGTACTGTCACTGTTCAGATGTGTCATCACATTGAGCTTTGCAGAAATGACACTCTGGTAATCCCTTAGCATTCATGTCTTAGGATCAGCAGAGGTCATGCAGAAGGAGCTTAAATACACATTAAAGTTGCCTTTGTTTGTCCAAATTTGTTTTTCATCGGCTACAAATCTTCCTGGCTCATCTGTTCCGCTCTCCCTACTCTCATCTGATCTCCAGTGAGTCATTGCAGATGTTAAATGTAGTATGTACTCAGTGCTCTCTAATGACTCAAACCCTCTGTTCTACCCACAGTGCAAGAAAAGGTGCAAGGCAGTGCGACTAAACTAGGATGTCTCTAAATCAGAAGAGTAGTGTCTGAAGTCTCAGATTTTGGCTTAGTGAATTTGCATATCCAAAAGCTCTGATGAAAGCAAATGAACAGCCTGAGATGGAGAAGTGAGATGAAGGATTCTCCCTTATAAATCCTCCAGAGGGTTGCTCATCTAACCTACGTTTGGATAGCTCAGATTTTGGGAATGCTGTTCTACTGGCTATAAACAGAACATGGACAAGACAATTTATAGTTGGTTAATGGCAGGGGAGATGATCCCCGCTGCACCCTGATTGCTGTAATTCACCTACTTGGATATACCGTAAGAAACATGAGTTCCCTCTAATAAAAGTTAGATGAAAAGGAGAAAATATTTCTCATAGAGGGCCACTAGATCCATAACACACATCTTTCGTGAAGTCTTGGCAATGAGCAGAGATGCCAAGCCATCCTCAGCTCCCAGCAGTGTGCTGGGGCTTTGTCATCATGTGGCTGCTGGGATTTATAGCCCATGCTGGCTTGGGCCACTTGCAGAGATAATACAAAGGCGAAGTTTGTTTAGATGATCAATTACTGGTTTTTTTTCTGATATTTTTTCAGAAAATAAAAAGGACCCCCTGTGATAGGGTGTCATCACTCACAGATGTGAAGCCATCTGCCTGTTGTTTCAGTGCCTTCTCATACTTGGGCATGCACTAGGTTATGTGCCACCCAACATTTTACAGTGGGTAAAAGTCTCCATTCATCAGCACTAGCTGCTTTTCTTCTACTGCAAAAATAAAAAATAAAAATAAGATGTTATTTTCCTTTAATTTGTGATTTTTGCTCTAGCTAGAACTATTTCCTCCCTGAATTCAGTACATGATGAAAAGAAAAGGAGCCATTCTTCAGTCCATAATGCTCCAAACTGTTTCATTTAAGTTATGACTAAATGTAGTTGTTTATTTTTTTTTTTCCCCTTCAGTGAACTTAGCAATGCAAAAAATCACGTGGAACAAAGCTAACAGAAACCTATGCCATGTGTCTGTCTTACACACATAAAATATTTGGAATCTGTTTCTGCTGTTGACTCCATATGGCCAATGATGGTGCTTGTGCAGCCAACTCCATGTTTAGAGCTTAAAACCTTTGAATGCACACACGTACTGAGTTTTTCCAGGAGTGGCAGATATCTTAATGGAAAATAAGTATTCATTTTCTTGGATGGGTTTGAGACTGGCTTACGGAGAGTTAGTAATTGCTTGCTGATGGGGGAAGAGTGCAGGCCTGGAGAATTACTTGATTCGCAGAGAGGATATGGACCAGAGCGTTTCCTGAGGGATGTGGGAGATGACTAACCCCTCTCTGAACAAATAGGCTTTATTCATTAATGAAAAGTTTTCTAAATGCTGGTGGTTTTTGGCTTTTCAACAGGTGAACGTCACTCGTGAAGATTCCCCCAGTGAGGATCCAGTCTTTCTCCGTACTTTAGGAAAAGGAGATTGGTTTGGAGAAAAAGCTCTACAATGGTAAGTGCTCCTTATGATGTAGCAATTACTTTGAGGTCGTTTTCCAAGGACTTCCATGGGCCTCAGAGGGCTCTTGCAATCTGGAAATAGCCTAGAATTACATTGGAAGTGGTGTTATGCCTTTGAAGTTGTGCTTTGTCACTTAATGCTGTATATTGCAATGAGGCTGTGCCTTAATGAGGGAATAGGATTTCCTGCAACTCAGTGGCCAAATGTGGAGCTTGCCTTGTTTGTAGGCATAAAAAAATAGTTTATCTTGGTGCCATTCCTGATTGTGCATTTGAAGATCTGAAATGTTCAGTATTATGCAGTTTGATATTTTGCAATTTGGGCATATTTCTCATGGATGTCAAGGACATTATTAAAGCCCAATGAAGATGGGGTAGACAGCTGAAGGCAGGGCAGTGGTGGTGTGTTTCAGATTGTCTTATTATGTATCTAGGATTTTGATGGAGGTGGTAATTGTGTATGTGACCTGCTTTATATAAACAATTTCATTGGGGGTGACTTGGATCAACTAAGAGAATAACAACTATAAATCCATATTCAACAGATTATAAAAATACACTTTATTTCTATAGGGAAGGATAAGAATAAGAATAGGAAAGCATGCTTTAGGCAGGAGCATGGGGCACCAATTAATCTTAGCCGACAAATGTTTCATCTCACTCTGAGTTCTTATCTGTGCGTGCAAGCTGTTGGTCTTCTGGATACTGTGATAATGTATTCTCTCCCTCTTAAATTTTCCAAAAAGAAGCCAGAATGTTTGAAGATCAAATTTTCTGTCACTTCTGGCAGCCATCATGACCTGTCCAGCACAAAGCTTGTCTTGTCTCTGAAAATCTATGCATTAATTCTAAAATAACATTGTTGCTCATCTATGCTCTTATTTTGGTAACTTCCTTTAATACTAATAGCAAGAGCAGGCAAACCTTCCATCTTTTGAAGACCGGATACGGGAAATAAAATACCTGGCATCCCTGAATAATTGTAGCAACATGCAACATCACCTTTAGGATAATTTCTCAGCATTTGAAGTAAAGGTTTTTGGCTAACTGGCTCAGTCTGAAATTAGTGAATTTACAAGAAATACTCGTCTGTATGTATTTGAATTTTCAATATACAGTGACTTTGATCTACTGAAACTGTTAGGTCATATGTTGTGATTTCATGTATGAAGGATGTAATAGCAACTAAAGGCATTTCTTTCTGGGCAGTATAAAAAAAAAGCAGCAGTGTTGATTCTGCATATTGCAGCACAGAAGGAAGATGGATAACAAATATTGTCTAATCTCTGCTAGAAATATTTATACTGCCACAGAAATCCAGCACTGATATACGTTATTCTGTTTCTCTCACTTGCACCAGATGGTAGACATTACTTCACAGTATCCCATTTTATGCCAGCAGGAGCAAAAGAAGTCATGAAATTATCAGCCCCATCACCTTACAGTAACAGTCAGGGCTCCCAACTATTACACTGCTCTCTTCCCTTCCTGGCTGATTAAATCTGAGATCGCAGATGTATAATTTACAGTTTACCAATATGTCATTTGCAATTACTCACAATCAGTTACTTGTGATATTTTCTTAATTGAAAAAGAATACCTGAGTGCCATTTACAATAATTATTTGTATCAACAGGGAAATAACAAATTCATTCAAATAGGCAATGGAAAAGAACTCAGTGCAACCTTATGGCCAATTTACTTTTTACTAAAACTGGCTAATAGTTCTGTCGTGCTGCTTTGGTGGTTATCACAGCTGAATTCCTGAGCAGGAGTATCATCTGTACTATGCTGCAGAGACAGAAAACACGTTCCAGTCTACGTTGGACGGTCCTGGGGAGAATAGTAGAGGAATTAAAAAGGACAAGAGAGGGAACTGGCAATGATTTCCCATTGGCCAAACCCAAACAGTAGCAGTTTGAGCCATTACTTCCCTACTATTACATTATTTTTTACATCATGTATTTGGATAGAACTCTAACCTCAGATGCTGGGTGGAAGGATTATCAGGTTTGGAAACCAGGTTATTAAGTTAGGAAACCAGCTCCAAGTCTTAGGACAAAATAGTAATGGCAGAGGGCTGCTGCTTTGAAGATACAGTGTGGGAGCCTGCCTTGGTGAACAGAGGAGGAATTCTGAAAGCATTACTGATAATTTGGTTCGTAATGCTTTGACTTGAGCAAGAAACCAATGCGTCCAAAGATGAAGTCCAGCAAGTGGGATTTTCTGATGAGTGCTTTGTTTTCCTGACTTCTAAAAGCTCTGCAGATCTCTTAGGGGTGGCAAGAGCAGGAGAATCAGTGGGAGAGTATGCCTGGTTGGGCAAGCCCTTAGTTGGGTGCTCTAAAAGTATTGATATATTTATATTAACATTACTAAAAGTGCTGAGGGCGCATCATACTGAAAAAGAGTAACAGAAAATAGAGGCTTTGCTTTGATTTAAACTTTCACAAATACATTACACGCTTCTTTCAGAGATGTCCAAAAAGCAAGGTGAAAATTGTCAGCTTGCTTGTTTTAATGCTTTTCTGCTTTACTTCTAGGCTGTTGCCTTTGAAAGGTGTGTTTTTTAGGTGTTTATCACCAGAGGTAGCTAGTTCAGTGTGGCTGACACAGATGTTGGGGAGGCAAAAGAGGTTTATTAAAACAAAGCTTAATTTGCCAATTTGTGCTGTCTTTGAAAATGATTTGTTTTTTACTTAGAGTTTATCATCTTCAATCGTGTTTATCAACCTCAATCGTGATGATTTATAAATCATCAGAACACACATTTGCCCTGTAGGTGGTTTTTTGTGTTGTTAGTTAAGCCAAAATGAAACATCTAAGCAAGCAAAACTATAGCAGGGTGACAGCCTGTCAAAAGAGATGATGATGTGTTGGAAGCTGGTTTTAATTACTTGCCAGCATGGCATGTTGAAAAGGTGTGGGGACTGGGAGAATTTCCCTGCCTCCAGCAGTGGTGGAGAGTTGACCCAGGGTGAGACCTGGAACACTGGCTCCCGGCCAAGGCAGCCCCAGCATAGGGCTTCTTCTGCCTTGCTTCCTCGTTTGTAAAGAATAAAACAGAGGGTTTACAAAATGTATTATTTTTTCAATGTCTGTGGTGCACAAGGTGAAGAAGTGCTGGCCCTCAGGTCATGGACAAAGCGCTCTGCCATGGTGACAATTATAATGACACTTCAGCTCCTACTGTAACATACATACGTTGATGATCTGAAAATGAGTACAGCTATGCTTGTCTCTCGTGGGACATAGCAGCACATCTTTTAAGAGGTTTTTGTGCTGCTTCCCATTTGTATCTCCAGCTCTGCAGGCTCCAGTATAGTTGCGTTCCTGCTGTTACAGAAAGCACCTGACCTGTATCTACCTTCCCAAAAATCTCTGGTGTGTTCTGTGTGCTGATAATTCACATGGTAGATGAAATATGGTAGCTATAGCTGTGTGTAGTAGAGTAAAAGAAAATTTCCTTGCTATGTACGTGCCGAGAAAACTGTGATGTGGGGAGGGACAAGTGGCATAAGAAGTAATGAATGTGGAAATCATCGGAACATAGAATGGCTTGGGTTGGAAGAGACCTCAGAGGTCGTCTGGTTCCAACTCTCCCCGTAGGCAGGGTTGCCACTCACTAAATCAGGCACTAAATCAGATTGCCCAGGGCCCCATCCAACCTGGCCTTGAGCACCTTCAGATATAGGGCATCCACACCTTCTCTGGGCAGCCTGTGCCAGGGCCTCACCGCCCTATCAGTGAAAAATTTCCCCTGACATCTAATCTAAATCTCCCTTCTTTTGTTTAAAACCATTCTGTTTTGTCCTATCACTACTTGTTCATTTTAAAAGTGGATTTCTCTCCTCCTTGTAAACTCTCTTTAAATACTCGTAGGTCACTGTCAGGTCTCGCTCAAGCCTCTTCCAGGCTCAATAAGCCCAACTCCCTCAGCATGTCTATATGAGAGGTTCTTCAGCCCTCTCTATGTGAGATCATCTTTGTTGCCTACTGTGGACGTGTTCCAAAAGTTCCACGTGTGGGGGTTAGAATAGAGAGGGATAATCATGTACCTTACCGTGCTGGCCACCCCTCTTCTGATGCAGCCTGATATACTGTTTGCAGTTCAACCTCATGAGGCCATCTCATGTCTGCTCTGCTTTATGGTGGGAGGGGTTTTGCCCTACCGAGAGGTTAATGATGTAAGGTCCAGGGATGAGACACGTGAGAAGTCTGGCTGACGGTGAAGGCTGGGGCAAAGAACTCTGAGTACCTCAGCCTTCTCTATGTCTGCTGTAGCCAGTTCTCCTTTCCAGTTTACCAGAGAAAATACAATCTCATTGGCCTGTCTTTTCTGACCGATGTACCTGTAGAACCACTTCTTGTTATTTTTTACATCCCTCACCAAGTGCAGTTCCATATGTGCCCTGGTTTTCCTCTTCCTGGGTAATACATCCCTGTTCCCACTGCCTGTTCATGTCCTTTTTTTCCCTCGGTTTGACTAGCAGGTCCTTGCCCAGCTGTGCTGGTTTTCTGCCTCCTCTGCTGCTTTTCCTATACTAGGGGATAGGAAGGGGGAAGGGGAAAGGCTTCCTTAAAGAACTTCCAGCTCCACTCTGCTCCTCTTGTCACTGAGAACAGCTTCCCAGAAGATCTCATCCGGTGATTCCTTAAACAACCAGAATTGTGTTCTCCTGAAGATCAGGGTCTTGACATTGATTTTTGCCATGCCTGTCTTCCTCAAGATCACAAACTCCAGGGCATGGTCATTACAATCCAGAGTGCCTCCAGTCTTAACCTCTTTAATGAGCTCCTTTGCATTAGTGAGCACCTTTAATGCATCTTTATATCAGCTGACAACATCAGAGCTTTACTTTTCCAACTAAATTAATACAGGAATTAAATACAATCCCCAAAACTTTTTGAAAGATCTTTTAGCTGGCAGCCAAGATGAAAATGAGACATCAATAGGGCATTAGAGTATCGACAGTAGCATTGATTTGCTTA